TAACTGATTTCTGTCTTGAGCTTGCTTATAATTGAAACCTTGATGAACACTCTTTTTACATTGAGGATTTTTGCTCTTGTTTTATTCCTTGGGATATCCTTCATAAACAACCAGGTGTTGTCTTTAATGTTCAATCTTTTCTTTTTGCTATGATTGGGAATGTATTTCTTTGATTGACTTTACTTTGTAAAACTCTTCACTGTTTAGACCAACGTTGCCCAAAGTGAGTGATATTGCTTGTGTGGGAAGGACACTGGAAATACCCAGAGAGGCAGTAATAACTAGGGTGCAATTTGGGGTGGGGGTTGCTATCTGTTTTAAAAAGGGATATTGGGGGCACTATGTAGTTTTGTTTTTGAAAAGGAAGTATTAGGTCAAATAAATCTGGGAACCTCTTTACTCTATGCCTTTAACCAATTGAAAAAGCCAGTTGAAATCTAACTAATTCAGTATTTTTCTTCATCCTGTATCTCTTCTGGGTTTTTGATGACATGAATATTAGATCTTTCTTGCAACTGTGAATGCTTGAGTATTCGCTAGTGGCCGTTTCAATGTTTTGTTCTCTGTGTTACATGGATTTGGACAATTTTTCTTGGTCCTTTTCTCCATTATCTCCATTATGCTAGTAATATGAGGAATTATGAGGGCTTTAAATCATTTTTAGCTATTGTATTTATCAGTTTGAAATTTAGTTTCTTATCTTCTATAGCTAAAGCTTCCTAACTTTCTATTCATTTCTGGAGTACTTGACCTTATAGCACTTTATATGACTTATCTTGGCTTCAGTGTGAATTGAGTGTCTTCTTCCCCAGGAACTGAGATTTCCTTAGCAAGTGATTTCCTTCATATGCTAAATAGATTGCAATACTAAATCATAAATCCTAAAGGCCTTATTTACAGACCTTATAGATATTCTAAGAATGTTTCTGTTTTTTGACCCAGTTGGTGTCAGTTTTCAAATTCCAACGTGTGTTCTTGGGTTGGAATTTGAAATTTTCACTGTCCAGTTTTCAATAACTTTGCAGTGCTTTTGTGGATCATTTGTGGACATGTGTCAAAATCTGTCCAATTTGAAACTTGGATGATTGTCTGTCTCAAGTTCTCAAAATCTTGGACAAAGTATTTGCAGTCAGAGCTACGAATGTGTGGCCAGGAGAAAGTGTAGGAACTCATAAACAAGTTTGCAGGATTGCTTTCCTGGGATTCCCCTTTCTTCATGCTGCCCTTATCTTTTCTGGTTCCTTGAGCTTTCGACTCCCAGGCCACACAACTTTATTCATCATGTCCTTCCCTGCTCTTGCCTGGACCCATACCCTAGTGTACAGGCAAAAGCTAGAGGACTAGTTTTTTGTAGAGTATACAACAGTCTTAGGCTCCTTTGGGAATCCAGTGTCAACAGAGCTCTCACAGGATTCCTCAGAGGCTGTATCACTACAGAATGGAGAAACACAATTCAGAGCAAAACAAAGCTTCCTCCATAGTCCCTCTTTCACATCTCACAAGGGGTTTCTTTGTTAGTTCTCTGTGCTAAAGCCCACTTGTAGGTTTTGAACTAGGTTTTAGTTCAGCATTGCATATAGGGGAAGAAAATAGCACGTAAACTCATCTTCAGTTGAGTAGCAATTCAAATCAGCCTTTACAGAACTTCTGGCTACTATTTACTTTCCAGAATCTTCAAATCCCTTTTGCATACACCTTGTTCAGGGTTTAGGACTTTCTTTCTTTTTTTTTTTTTAATTTTTGGGTCATACCCCAGCAATGCTCAAGGGTTACTCCTGGCTCTGCACTCAAGAATTCATCCTGTTAGTGCTTGGGGACCATATAGAATTCTGGGGAATGAACCCTGGTTGGCTGCATGCAAGGCAAATGCCCTACCAGCTGTACTATTGCTCCAGCCCTTTTTAGGACTTTTTTTGATAGGCAAGACATATATGTTTGCTTGGTGTTAACCTGGAACGTGAATCCAGGTTGTCGTTTTATTCAATTCATTAATTCAGGAAGGATTCAGTGAAATACTAATACTGGTTCAAAGAACATTTGAGAGGCAGCTCAGATAGAGAAGGGAGCACCAAATAAAGGGTGTTGGGAGGATCCTCCCAGGATGGGAGATGCATGCCGACAGTAGACTATAGACGAACATGATTGCCAGTCAATGTCTCTTTTGCAAACCACAACACCCAAAAGGAGAGAGAGAACAAAAGGGAATGCCCTGCCAGAGGCAGGGAGGGATGGAGGGATGGGGGGTGGAAGGGATACTGGTATCATTGGTGGTGGAGAATGGGCACTAGTGGAGGGATGGGTATTCGATCACTGTATAACTGAAACCCAAGCAGAAAAATTTGTAAGTCTATAAATATACCTCATGGTGTTTCACTAATAAAAATTTTTAATTAAAAAGAACATTTGAGGAGCAAGGAAGTCATATCCAATTTAAGCACAGAAATTAGAAAAAGATAGCTGGTTTACCTAAAAGAGCTGGTAAGTATTCTACAGGATTATAAACTGTAATCTGGAGGGATATCTTTTCCATTGAATACTTGAAGAAATGACTTGCATCTAAAGCAATCTCTGCTAATTAGCAACTATCCTAATTCTGAAATTTTTAATAATAATACCTCCTATTTGGGCTGGAGTGATAGCACAGCAGATAGGGCGTTTGCCTTGCACGAGGCCGACCTGGCTGACCCGGGTTCGATTCCTCCGTCCCTCTTGGAGAACCTGGAAAGCTACCGAGAGTATCTTGCCCACATGGCAAAGCCTGGCAAGCTACCTGTGATGTATTCAACATGCCAAACACAGTAACAACAAATCTCACAATGGAGACGTTACCCACTCGAGCAAATCGATGAACAGAGGTAGGACAGTGCTACAGTGCTACCTCCTATTTAAGCAATATTGTTTTTTATCATTTACTAAGCACATAACATTTCCCTTAAGTATAGAACTAAGTTTACTTGAATATATAAACTTCAGATGTCCTTAAAGGGTAAAAATAATCTATATTTTTGCCATGCTTTGAGTAGATCTTCCTTTTGGTGGTTGTTGGCTTTGTACCACATCTGAAAACGGGAAAGGCTTACTCCTGGCTCTGCTCTCAGAGGTCACTCCTGTTAGGCTCAGGGAACCATATGTGGTGCAGGGGATTTAACTCCAGTTGGTTACATGCAGGACAAACACCCTGACCACTGTACTATCACTCTGCCCCAATGTGGGGTAAATATTTTTTAATGTAAAGATACAGCTAAATACCCAAACCACAGAGTTAACAACACTGAAATCATGAGACCGGAAATTTAACAACGAAACTTAAATAAGTGCCTGGTAAGCAGACAAGTTGAGGGTGGGATGATAGGCAAAGGAACCCTGGTAACGGGAGGTTAACAAAGGCTGCTGAATCAGTGCTGAAACATTGTATGTCTAAAACCCAACTATGAATAACTTTGTAAATCATGGTGCTTTAATAAAACAAAAAATGTTTTCAATTGCACCTGAGCAAATATGGTTACAAAGGTGCCAATATAAAGCTACAAAATCACTAACAAAACCACTTGTGCACCCAATCTCCCTTTTTTCAAACAGATAGAAATTCCCACACCAAAAAACTGTGGTTTTGTAAACCAGTGTCAAAGACCCTCTTCCATGGTCCTTATGTCACTTCTAATCTACCTCTTTCTTTTCCATCCATCCCTAATAACCTCAATCCCTTAATCAAAATCCAAGGGCATTATATTAGACAATTGAATTATATTACATTATTTTTTGATTTTACATATTGCCTTTTTTTGTTTCTTTAGATACCATACATGAGAGAAGCCATCGGGCATTTGTATTTCTTCCTTTGACTTATTTTGTTTAATATGATTCCCTTCTAGTTTTACATAGTAGCAAAAGACAAGATTCCATCTTTTCTTATAGCTGTGTAAGATTCCATTCTGTATTTATACCACAACCTCTTTGGTAATTTTTCTTCAAAAATAAAAAGAAAGGAAGGAAGGAATGAAGAAAGAAAGGAAAGAAAGAAAGGAAAGAAAGAAAGAAAGAAAGAAAGAAAGAAAGAAAGAAAGAAAAATAGATCTAAATGCAATGGTCTCGAACATGATGGCCACTCAATACTTCTATTTCAAACCACAACACCCTAAAGGATAGAGAGAGCAAAAGGGAATGTCCTGCCACAGAGGCAGGGTGAAGTGGGCGGGGGGGATGGGGTGGGGGTGGGTGGGAGGGTTACTGGAATCATTGGTGGTGGACAATGGGCACTGGTGGAGGGATGGGTAGATGATCATTGTATAACTGAAACCCAAGCATGAAAGTTTGTAAGACCACAACTGTACCTCATGGTGTTTCACTAATACAAACTTAAAGAAAATAAATAAATAAATAAATGCAGTGATCTCGACTGAAACCAGAGATTACATAAGACTGACATATGCCCTGGAGTGGGGTGGGGTGGAGTGGGGACAACCTTTGTTTTTTTCCAACTCAAAAAATATTTTATTACATACCTACTCTATGCCAGCCATATTGCTAAGCATCGTATGGCCCTGTTTTTATTACATGCTTTTTAAAGAAAAAAAAAACTATGAGCAGTTAAGTACTTTTAGCTATAGAACTGCTTTACTGGTGTTTTGCTTGAGTGATAGTACAATGGGTAAGGTATTTGCCTTGCACACAACCAACTTGGGTTTGCTCTCCAGCACCCTATATGGTTTCCCCCGAGCCCACCAGAAGTGATCTCTGAGTTCAGATCCAGGAGTAAGTCTGAAGTACATCCAAATGTGATCTGAAGACAAAAAACAAAACAAAACAAAAAAACCCCTGCTCTCCCACACAGTTTAGAAATCTTCAAACTCAAACACTGTGAGACTAAAGACTGAAAACTTTAGGTGGTATGGTTGTTGAGGCACAAAATGCTGATTTTTTGTTCTGCTGTTCTGATGAACTCAAGAGTAGATGATGCTTTTTTAATTGTGATTTTTATGATGGTTGTTTTACTCTGGAAGGAAGGGCAGGGGGAAAAAAGAAGAGGAAAAAGTGAAGGAGGAGGAAGAGGTTCCGGCAACACCAAAGTCAAATGAAGGAACATCAGAGAGAGAATGGCATTTGCCCCCTGACCCTGACTTCTGCATTTACGTGTATGAAGTCACAAAATCCATACTCCCCATCATCAATATTAAGGACCAGATTGTGACTCTTGCAAAGTAAGTTGTCTATACGCATACAGCTATTTCTACACATACAGAAACTTTCTTGGTTGGGTGGGAAGGGGTGCATTAATTTTAGACAAGCAATCCATAATAAAAGAACTTTTTAACATAGTATCTCTGACTGAGCAGAAAGGCAATGAATTCAAAACCACCCCCAGTTTCTATTTTCAGTCATTTTTTGTGCCAGGAATCAGGACTAGTAGCTTGGACTTGTATATTGAAGAGCAATGCCAACCCACACAGAAGCTGTGTGGTCAGCCATAAACTGACCCTTTGACTTCCTCAGGTCAGATCTAAACTGGGCAGGTTCTATGTGCTACAGCGTCAAATCTCACCTTTTGGCCTCTGCTTCCTGTTTCGGGCTGACAAATCTTTTTAAGTCCTCAGAAGTGTGAGGTAAAGAAGACAGTCAATCAAGGTAATCTGAAGTTGTGATTGGCTCTGTAATAATCCCAGGACATAGAGATTAACTCATGCATACGGTTATCATTAAGATGCTTCATATTAAGGCTTGGACTGAGTATCAGAGAATGGACTGCCAATGACCCATATGACTTTCTTTCAATGGTTATTTTGACCATTATGCCATTGTTTCTAGCAAGTGCAGCTCTCTCCTGGAAAAGAAGAAACAAAAATACACACACGCAAACGCACACACAAACACAGATATATGTATATATATATCTGTGTGTGTATATATACACATCACACAGATAGATAGATAGATAGATAGATAGATAGATAGATAGATAGATAGCAAAAGTTACGTGTCTAAAAAACAGCTGGAAAAATTATCAGACTCTACAGCCAGAAGAAAATCATTTGGAAAATTATGCAGTTTGGGAAAGATCCACTAAGATTTCTTATCTGGATTTTATGATGCTGTTATTTAGCAAGTGAAGTATGAACATATGGAAGAAATCATGTTCATATTGACCTCATGCTATAGCAACTGGTAGACTTCCTGTAGAGGTCTGTTGAGAGTCATTGTAAATATACATTTAGTTATGCTACATTTTCTTCATAACTGGTTTAGTCATCTGCCATTTTGTAGGTTATGTACTAGCATGAAAACATCAGTGGACAAAAATGACTTTTGATTGTGAACAACTTTTAAATAATGGCTTTGTGTGGGGTCTTGAACAAAAGAAATTAAGAATGTGAAAAGTCACAACTGATCTCATATGTGAAAGCATACTACAGTTTTAAAAAATACAATATGTCAGTTATAGTTCCCTCGTTTGGCTGGTTTCTTGGAGTAGAATAATTTCTGTTTTCCTCAAAGCAAATAATATTAATAAATGAGTACTTCTATTTTCCATATTTTTCTGATTTTAGCCTTTGAGATGCTAGTAATTATCAGATATGAGAAAATATTTAAATCTAGTTCTATAAAAGATTCTCTTATCTTGGTCATGTAGAATACCATCTACTGTGTATAATAATTTTTGTAGTTACAAACACTGCCACTTTCTTAGATATAACTTGTTGAGTGGAGTAATATACCTTGACCATGTGGATACCATCTGCTGATATAATAATTCTTGTACCTATAAATACTGCCTTTTCTTAGATGTGACTTGTTGAGTAGAATAATACTATGGTTTAAAGTTTTTACGAAGGGGCTTGAAATGTAACTTAGTGATAGAACACTTGCCTTCCAGGTTTGACCACAACACGTAAAAATTAAGTTTTCAGGAAAAAAAAATATATATATACTAAGCCTGTTAGTACCTTAGAACTAGTTTTATCTCATTTTTGCTATTTGAAGAAGTAAAAGTATCTTACTAGATTATCAGATCATTTGCTAACTGAATAATACAGCTATCACTTGACCTTTGTCCCTTTCCTTGTAACTCATGTGTTAGTAATGTCCTTTACATTTTTTTAATCAAACAAGTTAAAGGGATAAAACATATTTAAAGATATATTTATATTAAGGAATACTTAAGGAATTTCAGTTTAGTCATTAATTAATTAGTGAGTAAAGCCAGGCTTCAAATTTTGAAAAAAATTTGTGGAGCAATAGTTGAATATAAAGCTAAATGAAATGACTTATCATTGGAAATAAAGAGATAAAAGATATTTACTTCAGTTAAGCAATTGTGTAAATTTTTACAATTAAACATTTTTAGATATGTCTGGCCTAATTCTATTGATGTCAGTATGTAATAATCATTTATTAATGTTGTTATCAATCTTATAATAAATTTTAAATTATGAAACTTTGCCCAACAACTTTGATTTTAAAATGAAACTAGGTACTGAAATAAAATTGACACTTCTAAAATATATATTAAAAATATGCCTGATCTGTTTCTCAACTAAAACATTAGAACCTTCAGAGTGATCCTGAAGATGTTGAAAATGAATCAAAAGTTTGGAATTTAAATGACTCCTGCTGCAGATGGGGTCCTTACAATTTTAAGGTTTCTGTTGTGAGTTCATTGTAAACTCACAAGTTATTTCTAATTAATAAAACAAATCACCCTCCCCTGTTTCAATGTTCTAGGTCTGACATTTCGTGGTTTGCTTTGCTCAAAAGTTGGAGCTGCTAACCATTCTAAGAGATGGTTATTTGGACAGACTCAGCACTCTCTAAGCCAGTGAAGTTGTCTTAATTAGAGCATTTAATCCGATTCCACTAAGAGAAGTTGGGGACTTGATAGTTTAAGGGATTAGTAATCACTAGAAATGGATTGTGATTCTTGCCTTCGTGATTGACATTAAGCAGTAAGTGAGCTACTGGATGGTGGAACAGCTGCAGTCTCCGTGGGAGCTTGGACCTACTCCAATAGAAAGGAGTTGCAGTCATCAAACCTGGAGGTGACAAATGCAAGAAACACAGCCGCCAGATCATTGAAATCTTGTCAACCAGAACTGAAAGAAAACATTTCTGGCTACTGAAGTTTTCCTTGATGTCCTTGAGAAATGATGAGTCAGTCAGAATGCTGATTCAGCCTCATTGCATCATCTGTCAAATTTCCTCATGCTTTGTTCTTATAAGAAATACTTTTTATGATTACCATTAATTTTTTTTGGAGCTGGAGCGATAGCACAGCAGGTAGGGCGCTTGCCTTGCACGCAGCCAACATGACCGACCCGAGTTCGATTCCTCCCGGCAAGCTACCGAGAGTATTCGATATGCCAGACACAGTAACAACAAAGTCTCCAATGGAGATGTTACTGGGCCCGCTCGAGCAAATCGATGATCAACGGGAGGGCCTTTACTTTTACTTACTTTTTTTTTTAACTTAAGCTCACATCAAGCTAGAGAAGTAGCCCATGCCTTTGGTTCTTGAGCTTTTATTACAGTACACCCAGCTGGGTGGAACCATAGGTTGGTTCATCTTCCAACCTCAAAAGATGGAAATCTCATCTTTTTTTTAATTTTACTTTTTAATGAATCTCATCTATTAAACCTTGCTCTTTGCTTGGTTCCGTATACAACACAAAAAAATTCCTTTCCGGCAATGTGCACTGTGTATCTTCAAGAGTGCTATGGCCTTAGTTGACAAAGGATCCATGCAAGTGTGTTTGCTATCTTCCTGAGAAAGCAGAAAAAAATGGGAGCAATTCTCAATCATACAACCCACCCAACCTGATTCTTATATTGCCTTTCCCCCTTTTGCTCTCTTTTTGAACTTCAGCATTACCCAAGTGCAATTTATCTACATGAAATATAAGAATAATAAAATTTAAATAAAAGACTTTAACTTGTAACTATTTGTAAGAATAATGGAAAATTTTCTGTATGGTTATCTTTTCTCTTGAATTTAAACTCCTTAAAAGAAGGACCATATAAGAGTACAATATCTTGGATTAAAACTGTTAAAAAATACTTTTCAATAGAAACATAAAATTTTGAAACTGCAATGGTGTAAACTTAAGTGTCATATTGACATGTTGTTGGAAATATTGGGAAAATTAAAATTCATTTATTTTTGTCCGAAATAGAACTGTTATAATTTCACTTTATATCTGGTAGTCTAAATGCAGTAAGCATGTTAACTGAAATATAGTAAGTAGCACTATCCTCCCATTATTCGCCGATTTGCTCGAGCGCGCACCAGTAACATCTCCATTGTGAGACTTGTTGTTACTGTTTTTGACATAATATATATATTATGTCAAATAATATATTATAATATATAATAATATAATATAATATATATTATATATTATATTCTGTCAAATAATATATTATAATATAATATATTATATTATATATTATGTCATAATATATATTATATTATATATTATATTATAATTATATATATACTTACTATTTTTTTTGCTTTTTGGGTTACACCCGGCATTGCACAGGGGTTACTCCTGGCTCATGTACTCAGGAATTAACTCCTGGCGGTGCTCAGGGTACCATATGGGATGCTGGGAATTGAACCTGGGTCAGCTGCGTGCAAGGCAAATGCCCTACCTGCTGTGCTATCTCTCCAGCCCCTATATTTTAAAAATTAAAGCAAGTAGTAAAAAAAAAATAAGAACAAATGCAACTTAATAACACTTAAAGCTTCCAAACTGAAATGTGAAACTTGATTTGATCTCAATGTAATTGACACAGGTATGTGGCAGAAAAAATGGGTGGTAAAATTCCAAAAGAGAAACTACAAGATTTCAGCTGGGAACTGCATATAAGTGAATTAAAATATCAACTTAAATCCAATGTAGTACCAATTGGACTGGTCAAGAAAGGATTCTTTTACCACCGAGCTTTGCTTTTTAAGGTACGTAAGCTGAATTTTGCCACTAGAAAAAGATGGTTTACCTGTATCATAATGGAGTGAATCAGTGGCTAGCATTTAACTGGATTAAATGTATATTTAATATATTTAAGGTTTGCATATATATGTAGATACCTATATACTACATATATATTCATATATATTAATCAGACTGCTGAAACTCTATCCACTCAATAATAATCTCATGTCTGCTATAGGCATGGGCTTCTTCTAGGATCTGGGAGTATAGATACTAAAGTTTATAGTCCCTTAATGCCAGGGACACGTAAACTGGATCTGTAGGCTCTAAGGTGATGTCAGAGAAAGCTTTAGAGAAGCAAGTAAGAGCTTGTAGTGTGAATATGAAAGCTATATGAAACTTTAGCAGGTAAAGAAGGAAGACAATGACTGGAATGATAGTACAGCCAGTAGGGAGCTTGCCTTGCATGTGGCTGACCCAATCTCTAATGTCACATATAATCCCCTGAGACCAGCAGGAGAAATCCCTGAGCACACAGACATGAGTAACCCATAAACACCATCACGTGTGTAACCCACCCACCCCCCAAAAAGAAGGAAGACAAAAGAATTCCAGTCAAAGCAAGAATTATGTACAAAACAGCAGGTCAAAGAATTAATGATGCTTCTGGAGAGATGTGGAGGTATTTGTTGGGCATGAAGGGTTGCATTATGCGAAAGGCCCAGATCAAAAAACATCTATCTCATTGGCACTTGCACCTCAAGTCTGGGAGTAGGCAATGCAAGTCATTAGTGTCATTAGTGAAAGGCAATCACATACTTTTGAAAGACCATTCAGACAACACATTGGGGAATGAATTAGACCAGGGACAAGACTGGAGGCAGGAGGACCAATTGGAAAGTAATTGAAGTAAAAAATGTGGATAATCCAGCCACAGTCACAAGACTGGGAATGAGGGGATGAATTGAGTGGGACTTATTACATATATTTATTATATGTAATTATATGTAATACATGTAATTGAAAGAAGTTGGTGACTAATAACATGCAGTGTGAGAGATTGTATAAGAAGAATAAAATGATATCCACTCACTGTGGGTTGGGCAGCTGGTGACGATGGTCTTTATTCACTGAGATATGGGAAACTCTAAAGAAAGACCCTGTTTATGAGTGGTTTGATTTTTTTTGTTGTTGTTGATGTTGGTGGTGGAAATGCTCCATTTCAACCAGTACCTGATGTGTAGTGGGCCCTGTGATCTATAGACTGAATGTACAAAATTCTTATTGTCTCCCAAATACTTACAAATATTACATCTACATGTCTCATGCCTTCAGTTCTACATGAATTACTTCTTTTTAAGTCCAGTACCATTCTTTCCTCATATTTCTTGCTTTATCAATTTTTCCTTCTTTCCTATCTTAAGTATATGTATACTACCTCCTTCCCTTTCATTCCTGTTACCATCATCACCAACATTTAGGCTATGTGCTAGGCTATTACTGGTAAGTATAATTGTAAAGAGTTTCAAAAATACTAAAAGTTTAATGGCCAAAAAAAAATCCAATATTTAGAGGAGAAATTTATCATATCAACCTAAAATGCAGCTTCATTTGAGCCCAGGTGTATCTGAATTAAAAAGTTACTCTACCTTTCCTCCCATAGATACATATTTCTGATCAAAATGTTCAATCTTCTCAGCTCCTTGGCACACCGTCACTGCCCACTGGCCTTTGCTGACTCTCAGTAAGAATCACAGTGCCAGTTGCAAGCTCAGTTTGTCACCTGTGTTTCTGATGGCACAGCTCTAAATAGGGGATTCCCATGAGCTCCCCTCTGCCTCAGATTGATTACATTGCCAAAGCAGCTCACAAAAACATTTATACTTATTATATTACTCATTTATTTCAAAGGCTAGAACTCAGCAGAGCCAGATAGAATAAGTGCAAGGACAAAGTATAGGGAAAAGGCAATGGAGCTGTGATGTCTTCTCTGAGCAAGCTGTTCTCCTCAAATTTCTGCTTGCTCACCAACCCAAAAACTCTCCAGGCCCTCTCTCTGTTCTTTTTCTTTATAGCGATTTCTTACATCGCCTGATTGGCTAAATCCCTGTCTACTGGTAATTGTATTCAACACCCAGCCCCTCTCCTTTCCTGTAGGGCTGAAAGTTTTGACCTCCAGTCACATGGTTGATCCCCAAGTCGCAAACTGCCCCCATTCTCACATACCTCTCAGTCACATCACAAATAGAACAAAAGATTCCTCTGTGGCACTCCTCGTGGATTCTGAACACCCACTGGCTTTAGAAGCTCAGAGCCAGAAATGGGGATGAAGACCTAGAACATATTTAATATGAATCACAATCTCGTAGAATGCTGTACATTCATCTGTTGTGGTTCTATAGTTGGCTATCTGCCAGGCACACTCGGACTAGACAGAAGAGAAGGCTTTACAACGCCAACCATTTCTCAAATACCTTGGCCTACTGGGTCCTTGGTGCCATCGTTCCATAGTACAAATCAGCGAATTATACTCAGATACAAACCATTAGAGACCATTACCACCACATTATTTTACCACATTTATAGAGTACTTTTGCTCTGCCCTCACTCACAGCTCTAAGTACTTGACACCTATTAAACACCCCCCTCCCGTCCCCGCACCCTGGGACTAAGGTGGTTGTAATGTCATCACCTTCATTTTTACAGCAGAAGAAAAGGAAACACAGAGAACTGAGTCATTTGCTGGAGATGACAGCATCTAGGGAGCAGCTGAGTCAAAACTCAAACCCAGGCAGACTGAGCTGGTTCTTACCCACCATAATGTGGCTAAGACCTTTTCAGGTTATTTGGAAAGGGACTTTCTTCTTACCTTAAAAGCAGGACTCACTGGGGAGTCAGCTTCCAATGAACGTTTAAGTAAGCCTGGTGTGTGTTGCTGCAGGCAGCCAAGAATACCCACTCACAATTCTGCTCCATTGCCCCTGCCTACCTCTCACAGAATAAATCAGCAGGAAGTAGGGCTCCACCACTCAGGTCCCCTGCATATCACATCCCTCAGCAGCCAGAGCAGCCTGGGAAGATTGATAGGTACACCAGTGCCGCAAGCCTGTGGAGTAGCTTTTCTGCAATGTCCTTATCAATCTTGTGCTGATACAATGAGGAAGAATTGCCTGGAAAATGTCACTTCCCAACAGGATCTACACAAAGATTCTGAGTAACACTGAATCTGGAGGAATGGGGGGCATTTTGTTGGCATCTCTCACAAAATTCCACATTCCACCCTCAAACCACAAGCTCCTTTCTGAACACTTCTCCGCAAGACTTGCTTCCTTCACCTCTGACCAAGGAAGGTTTTACAGCTCAGCAGTTTTCTCCGCCCTTCTCTCTCCTCACTCTTGGTTGATCATGCAATTTCCTCCCCCGCCCCCAACAGGCTCTGGCAGATAAAATTGCTGTCGGCTGCTCTCTGGTTCGAGGGGAGTATGGCAGAGCTTGGAATGAAGTTAAATTGATGAATGAATCGAGTAAGGGGAAGATCGGGGGTTTCCTGCCCCCTCAAGAATACATAGTTGACCTAATGTTCTCTCCAGGAACACTGTTGAAGCTAAGAAGCAAAGAGGCAGATCTGTACAGGTATCTCTAAATTACCAAGAAAGCATGAGACAGCCTCAAACAAGCCATCCGGGCATGCGCTTCCTGTGAAGTTCCCCCATTGTTTTTATTTCTTTAAATTAAATACATTAGAAAAGCACTCTCTGTGTAAAAATGGCTTAAACTCAGACATGTTTCCCATTTTGGGTTTTTAGCAAGATGCCGACCCATTTACTAACTCTATGCCCCTCGTGTAAAACTTATTACTGTCAGCATTAACTCACACTACCATGCCCACAGTGGCATCTTTGCCCTCAAGAAATCAGGTGTCAGAGTGCCAGTTGCTATGCCCAGGAAAGTTCAGTGGCCTCAGGACCATCAATCTTTATGCCCAGCATGCTTCAGGAAAGTTTGCCTAGACAAAGTTCCTTTTTCAGAAAATGCCTTGGCCACCTGAATCTCGCTTTCAAAAAGTAAGATTACTGATAGATTTGAATGTTTATATATCTATTTTTAGCAGCACAAATGCTTCCTGAAATTTTTCTAATATACTTGACTGAGATAAAAATATTTCTAGCAGGTTTTTTTATAAATTGTATTTGTCTTTGTCTTCTCTATGTTTACTTGGAAATACATCTTCAGTTCCAAAACAATTTTGATTTACTTTGACATATTTCATGCTGGGTCACAAAAGGAATATTTAAATTCCCATCACTTCAAGTCTTTGGGAGGAAAGCCTGAAATACAGAAACAGAGAAAACCATTGCTGAGGTATTGTGTTTTTAGCACTGAATACGAAATGGTGAACACATTTCAAATGGTCACAAGATAAGTAGTATGAGCATGTTGCATACAATATGTATTTCTTGGCAGGCTTTATTTTCAAGTTTACATGTATAATTAGTTGACTACAAAGTTTTCAGAAATGAGTTTGAATTTAAAAATTAGTTCTGAGATTTGTACTCTGTATGAATCAGTTCCTAATTTCAAGAACATAGCATTTTAAATTTTAGAATAAAGCTTTTTACAGCAAGTGGTGTGGCAGTGATCTTTATCATGCAATTTTCTGATCTAGGGTATGGATTATAAAATACAAACCAATCCATGTTTTCAAGTTTGTTTTGATCCAGAAAGCATTTAACGTGGATTACAAACACACATTAAGAAATAATCAGAGAAAAAACAAATGACAAACACACATGAGTGTTGTAAAAAAAAGTTCTACAAAGCCAGGAATAAGAAGCTTGAAATGCAAATGCCTCCCTGCAAGCTCGATGCATTTGTTAGAGGAGAGTGAAAATTTGACTCTAAGCTTTCTAGCAGCCAACGCAGAGGGAAATGCTATCAGTTTCATGATTTATAACAGGGTCCTCTGGCTTAAAGAGGAAAAGCAGTTTCTCAGGAGAAACAAAGACCAGGGGAATTCCTCTTTGGGAGTTTCATATAAATGACAAATGTAATATAGAAAATAGCATCCTTGAAAAACAACCTCCTAGTAAATTCTGAAAAGAGTTTTCATAAACCAATAACCTAATATCAAAATGGCAAAAGTGCCCCATGCAGTCACTGACACATGGTTCAGTAGACACCACATTATTTTCCATCTAATACAGGCCAAAGATACATTTTGCTGTTTTGCTGTACTTTTTAAGCAATTAGATATACTCTCAGCTAGCTTCTACGTAATTATTTAATAGGAGAGTTTATTCTCAGACACCTGGTCTTTGATTTTTATTTAATTTGTGTTACCAGATTAAGTGTAGAAGCATAAAATTTAATAATAAGCTAATCTATTTATTTTAAAACACATCTACAATGACAATAAAAATTATAAAATGCATAGCAATAGATGTACCAAATATAGAAGAAAAACTATAACATCTTAGTGAGATATGAATAAATAAAAATATATATCATTTTCTTTAGTGGAAAACTCAGCAATCTGAAGATTTCAGTGTCCCTCATATTTATCTATGCTGTTAATATAATTTCAGTTAGAATACAAACATATTTTCTTTTCTGTAAATTTAATTTCTCTAGAAGAATGAATGTATATGAATACCAATATTATTTTTGAAATAGAAAATAAATATGCACTATATCCATTATATATCAGAATCTAAATCTAAACCAATAATAAGTATAATTAGTATGGCACAGGCATAAAATATTATAAGTCCAGTTATATAACTACATATTTAGGTAGGGATTTAGTTGACAAAAGTAGCTTCTCTACCATCTCACATCCAAAAGAACAGAAGCAACCGGTGTTGGCGTGGATGTGGGGAAAAAGGGACCCTCCTTACACTACTGGTGGGAATGCTGACTGGTTCAGATCTTTTGGAAAAAAGTATAGATGCTTCTCAAAAAATTGGAAATTGAGCTCCCATTTGACCCAGCAATACCACTCCTGGGAATATATCCTGGAGAGGCAAAGAAGTATAGTCAAAATGACATCTGCACTTGTGTGTTCATTGCTACACTGTTTACAATAGTCAGAATTTGGGGAAAAAAAAAAACCCAAGTGCCCAAGAACAGATGACTGGTTAAAGAAACTTTAGTACATCTACACAGTGGAATATTATGCAGCTGTTAGAAAAGATGAAGTCATAAACTTTGCATTTAAGTGGATCAACATGGAAAGTGTCATACTAAGTGAAATGAGTGAAAAAGAGAGAGAGACATAGAAAGATTGCACTCATCTGTGGAATATAAAATAACATAATGAGAGACTAGCACCCAAGAATAGTAGAGATAAGTACCACAAGGTTTGCTCCATGGCTTGGAAGCTGACCTCACATGCTGGAGGAAAAGGCAGCTCAAATAGAGAAGGGAACACCAAGTAAAGTGTGGATGGAGGACCCGCTTGGGATGGGAGATGCATGCTGAAAGTAGACCATAGACGAACACGATGGCCACTCAATATCTCTATCGCAAACCATACCACCCAAAAGGATAGAGACAGAGAAAAAAGAAAATGTCCTGCCACAGAGGTAGGGTGGGGTGGGGGGATGAGGTGAGGGGGTGGGAGGGGTACTGGGATCATCAGTGGTGGAGAATGGACCCTGGTGGAGGGATGGGTACTTGAACATTGTGTGACTGAAACACAAGCACAAAAGTTTGTAAGTCTGTAACTGTATCTCACGGTGATTCACTAATAAAAATTTTTTAAAATAATAAAATTAAAAATAAAATTAATAAAAGTAGCTTCTCTGCCCATAGGGGAAATGAATGCTAACGGTAAAAATTACAATCTTGACAATTTTTAACAAAAAACTAAAATTCATAGAACTATAAGTTTGATAAGCCTGGCTACAAAAAGCTTTTAAATTCCTATTTGAAGGGCCACAGACTTATCTCAGTTGTAGAATACTTTCTTTGTATGATACCCTGGATTCAATTTTCCGTACTTCCCTCCAAGCCCCCCCAAAACTGTTGACTAGTTCAATCAGAAAAGTATAGTATGAGCAAAAATGTTTATCTTTAACAAACCAAAGCATAACCAAAATTATAAACAGGAAGAAAAATTTGTAACAGACAATGTAACAGAAAAAAATTTCTATCTCTAGTAAACAAAATGATTCTATAAACCAATGGGGAAAAGACAATCTACTTGGGTAATAGGTAAAGGCACCCATATTTCAGTGGGCCATCTGTAGTGCTAACAATCTCCAGATCTCACCTTGCATCTTGTTTCACATTACATGGCTTACACCTAAAATCTCCTATAGGAATTATAGGCTTTGCTGGAATTACATGTTCTTTGATCAGAGTAGACTTTGATGGGATGGACCAATGTCTGCAACCAAGGAGATCTAAGTTAGAATATTCAAACCTGGGGGAATTTTGGCAAACGTTGTGGCTATCAGATTTGAAAAAAAGTTTTTAATAAAGCAACTGTTACTCTATCAGGATCACAAGCTCCAGTTCTCTTCTGAAGATCAAACCATTTTACTAAAAGTAATACCTAATTCTCATAAACATCATGAATCAAATAAAAGTAGTACCTAACTCTCATAAACATCACGAATCAAATAAAGAAGTAAACGGTCTAGTAAAATCCTCTTGCCAGGTTTTCAGCCTTTGAGCAAGTTTACATAGCAACGATGCAAGTAATTTTTTTTTTTTGCTAAGCACACATCAGATTTCAAACGTATTATTTTTTGGTCTGAGAATCTGCAGTCATCTATGAAAGCCACATTTTCTAGTAGCCCTAAGTATGCAAAATCAAATGAATACTGATTTTTGTTTTGATTGGCACAGAATTTTTACAATAGTGGCTTATTTTCCAGCAGGATATCACCCTACAACTACTCTGCCAAAAGCAGTCATCTGAGATTAGCTGTGGTGAGTTTCAGGAGATGTGATTCACAGACTGTCATCTATATCATGATGGCAGTTGTTTTTATCTCAACTAAATGCTAAGAGTAGGATCAATTATGGAAAATAGTTTTAGTTTTTTGTTTGTTTTGGAGGAATAAAATAGCATCAAATCATTTAGAGTATTTAAAAGTAATTTTCTTTATTTAAAGTTAACTGAATATTATTATTTGTAGAAGCTCTATTTTAAAAACCATGAAAATATGATCATTTTAGTAATAAATCTGGATGCGACTTCAAAGCCTACCACCATAGTCGAAAATGTGTTAACATAGTGAATGTAAATAAGATTCTTCTCCTGCCCCTGTGCCAGGATATCTTCACCAGGGCCCCTCGGAGGGGGGGCAGGTTGAGTCTCCCTCCCCACCCCAAGCAGAACCCCAGCAGCCGAAAACCTCCAGAACCCAACCACAGCCATGCTCAAGGCCACTCTTGGACGAGGCTCAATCATGAAGGAACTGGCAGAGGAACCCAGGTATGCGGGACTCGTGGCTGAGATCTCCAAGACTGCTCGGATCGGGGCTGGGCCTCCTCCACCCAGACCCCCAGTTTTCCAGTAGCTTGGCAGTCACACCCACAAACTGCCCCACCCACCCACCCAGCCATGTAATCTCATCAACAGCCAAGATCCAGAGACTATAAAACAAAGCTCCCAGAAGAGATTGACACAAC